TAGCGTTAACGAAGATTCTTATAACGAAGTCCTGATCGGCTGGATCGGCAACTTCGTTATATCGAGGTGTGACTGTAATTATTAATATTTTAATATTTTAATATCAAATATTATAAAAAAAGATAAAAATATTTACAAATTTTTATTATATAAGATTTTTATAATAAAAAGAGAAAAATAACAAAAAAAAATAAAAAATAAACATTTTGATTTAAAAATCTAATTTGATATATAAAAGTAAAATTATTAATTCTAATTGTTTTTTCCTTTCTTTTACAAAGGTTAATAATTTAAAAATATAAAAAAGGTATAAATTTAACTTACATATTAATTTTTATATAATTCAAAATATTTTATTTAATAATTAAAGCTTAGAAATTTAATTTATTAATATTTTTTTTTATATTTTACAAAAATAAGTTATATCTAATTTATTATAAAATTTATATTTTATTAAAATATTAATTTATTATTATTATATTAAATAGTATTAACAATCTTTTTATTAAAAATATCAATTTTAAATTCTTTATTATATTTATTAAACTAATCTATTATAATGCAAAATAAATTTATATTATAATATTTACTATAATTAATTATATATATCATATTTATTTTTATTATATTTAATATTATTAATTTTTTTTTTTTTAAAAAAAATAAATAAATAAAAGCATAATAATTATACTATAACAATTGGATTTAATAATAATAAAAATATATTTTAGTAATCACTTTAAGAAATTAAATAATTAGTTTAAAGTATAATATAAGACTGTTTATTTAAGTCATTATTTTTAGTACATATTTGTTTTATTATTAATTTATTATAAATTTTTTATTATGTGAATTTAAAATAAACTAAATTTTTAACCTTTTAGATTTATAAACAGTTTTTGTTACCTAATATGTAAGATAAATAAAATAATAAAATTAATTATAATATTATTTTAAAATAATAACGAATAAAGTTTTATATAATTTTAAAATTATATTTACAGTTAATCCTCTTAAATATACCCTTTCTAAATATATATACTATATATTTTTTCTTTAAATACACACTCTCGTTCAATCCTAAACATATAGAATTTATATAAAAAATCTTCTCTTTAAATGCATACAATCTTTAAATACATATTTTTTAAAATTTTCACTATAATTTCAAGGGGTTGCATTTAAAAAGAATTGACTGTATTAATAATTGATAAATATAAAAATAATTTTTTATATATTTTTTTATTTTATTTATTATTTTAAAATATATTATCAATTTAATTTATAATTTATTAATAATATTATAAATATTAAAAAACAAGATATATATAATACAAAAAAAATTGTCATTAAAAATTTTAATCATTGTTATTATTAATTATTATTTTTTTTTTTTTTATATATTTTTAATATATTCATTATATTTTTTCTTTTATTATAAATTCATTAAAAGAATTTAAAAAAGTAATAAATTATCCAATTACCTTTTTTAAAATATTCCATGAATGCAAATTCCTAATACAGAATCATCCATTATAGCTAATACGGGAATAAATGTAATAGCAGCTTTCATTTCAGAAAAAAATTTTTTAATTTTTAATTTAATAGCTAAACAAAAGAAAAAGAAAAAAAATTATTATATTAAAATTATTAAAAAACAGATTATATAATTTATAGATCGAAATACCCTTTTCAAATTTACTTTGATCAGTATTAATCTTTTTAGAATAAAATATTCTAATAGATCCAATATTATTCCAAAATTTTGAACTTTTAATTTGTGAAAATGTAAAAAATTTATTAAATAACTTATCCAATCCATATATCATTCCATCAAGTAAGTTCAATAAAGTTATATCTGTAATAGACGTATTAAATTATTTTCCTTCTTTTTTAAAAAAAATTAAATAAATATAAAAAGCAAATTGAAACAGAGAAAGCTTACTTTCATTATTGACTTGAATAGTAATTACACTACATAATATTGGATTCATAAACCATGCAGTTGTCTTTGTAACCATTGGTTCAATAGTATCCGAAGTATCTGAAAGATAAAAAATATGTAAAAATATATTAAAAGCATTTCGTCAGAATTAAGCAATTTTAATTAAGCAACTTTTAGAGAACTTAAATTAACATATATATACCTTGCCAAATCTTTGGTTCCACTAAGGGATTCTTAATACCATCATCGTCACGATGTATTAACACTTGCCATTCAACTTTACCTCTGCGGGGAAGCGATGGAACAGAAAGATAAAGAACAGGTTCCGTAAATTTCTACCAAATAACAAGAATTAACATGATATAAATAAAAATCAAAATAAAATTACTTAAAACCATACCTTGGAATTCTCGTCACTTTGCCCGCAGAAAACTTTCCACGCATTTTGTACAAAAGGAAAAGAACTTTCATCATCAACAAAACAAATCGATAAAGCAGTTCTTTTCTTCACATTTAATTTTAAAACTGAAGTAACATTTTCTAAATTTCTTAGCGATAGAAAGGTTTGCATTTCAAGTGTCTGAGGTAAAGGAAATTCAAGTGATGATGGTATAAGCCCTATTTGTCCTGCAATAAATGCATGACATTTTATCTATAAAAATAGAGGAAATATAAATAATGTCCCTTTTTTAAAATGTAATATTTGATAAAGAACTTACAATCGTGGCTTGAGAATATGGTCCAATATTTGCCGGAGCCCAATAAGAAATACTTTGAACATGCATAGTTTCTCTTGGATTAGAAGATTCTTCATTAGATATAGGTTTTATCGCCATCAAATCTATTTGAATATTCGTTGGTGAAGGTAAATTGCTGCCTACACACGCCCTATAATAATTTTGAAAAAACATATAACAGTTAAATAATTTAGAACAAAACAAAAACTTTATACAATGTAAATACCTCGTAGGTGGATTAATATTAAAGAATTTCTTATAAATCGCATTCATTTTTCCAAATTCATCCATATCTTTAATAAATACATTCATATTTACTACATCAGACCAACTTAAACCTAATTCATGTAACTTTTCTAACAGATGTACATAGAGAGATGTAAATAAATAAATGAATATCTCCCCTTCAACAAATATAAGATTAAGTATAGATACCTTGAAGATTTAACATGCACGCATACGTTTCTTCCTCGATTGATTCGAATTGTTGAACCTCTTGTGAATTATCATATGCAGTTGTACCAGATACGTTGTAGTAAGGTGGATTTGAATATGAAGAAAATAAATCTAATTAAAGAGGAAAAATTTTTTAATAGGGGGAATTATCGCATAAGAATATTAATTCACGATTACATACGGAGATTTTCTTCCGATAAAAATTCTTCGCTCAAATTATCAATTTTAATCGATACCATGACATAATTTGTTCTGTTATTATCCAATTTCTACAAGAAACATAATAATTAGATAAATTTAAAAGTATCATAAAAAAATTTATTATCTCACCGATTGCTTGTCTAATATAGTAAAATCTTCAATATCTTTTTTCCATGATGGAATCACAATAACAGGATTTGATACAATTTCACTAGCTTGTTTTTCTTCAACAATTAAACGTTTGAGGCGAAGATAGGCAACTGTAGCAAATGCATCATCAGAATGTATAACTGTCTCCACTTCCTGACTAAAATAAAATCATAAGTTAGACATCTTTTAAACAAAAAATTTTCTTCATCCAAAAAGTGCGTATTATAAGTGAATCTTACACAGAAAGTCGCTTAACAAATAAGGGACAATCCAAAGTAAACGTTTCATATTCACCACCTTCACCGCATATGTGTACATCATACTTTTCATTCTATTTATAAAAATAAAAATAAAAATTTTCAAAAATTCATATGTGGATAAAAATCAGAATTTGATATTAAACTAACCAAATCGCATAAATATGGATATAATTGTGCGATTGACTTTCCAAGGTGTGTAGTTTTAAGTCCTACAATTATAAGAAGATATGAAATAAAATAATAAAGCTCACTAATCGTCAAACATTTATTTACCTATTGCAGCTACTTTAATTAAAATTGCATTTATTCCAGCATTAATCATTTCTTTCAATAATTCTTTCTGATTCCTTCGCCAAAGATAAGCAAGTGATGTCAATCCAAGACGATCACATCTATATGATATTGTAATAAAGTATACATTTAGGTAATCTAGTGAAAAGCAAAAGTTAAAGCAGAATTACATTACACGTTTTCAACACGAACACGTTGGTAATTTGATAAAATCGCGCCAACAGAAACCGCTTGAATATCAGAATGTTCTTTCTATCAAAATTCGAAATAAATATACTTTAATATCAACATTAAAGTATAATAAATAAAATAATAAACCGCAACAAGTTTAAACAACCTTCACTTGTTTTAATAATTTATATAAATCTTCGGTCTCATCACCTAAAGTTTGCTGATAATCTGCACTTTGAACTAAAGAATTGCCCATAATCTCACGTCGATAAAGAGGAAGATTCATGGATTCAGCAATATATTCAATCGCGCCGTGACCAACAGTTTGATAAAGAAAACTGTCGAGTTCATCTAAACTATCCAAATGTTATGATTTAAAGCAAATTATTGACAATAATTAATGATGTGATGGGTTGAGAATTAAAGTTCAAACCTTTTATGAATTTTGATTGTGGTTTTAAATTTGCCAATGCCACAATCTGATGCCCATTTGCAACACAATGCATCATATTATAACAGCTATCTTTTCCTCCACTGATTAAAGCAACCACTTTCATAATTTCTATGAAGTTATACTTTAATTAAGAAATTATTTAGGTTAGCTAAAGGTTAACATAATCCTTGTTTAAAGATTTTCTTTATCTAACTATCCAGCTACCGAATTGTACCCTGCATACCTATAACGCTACAATGCATTTGAAAAAATAAATAAAGCAGCGCCTCAAACAGCAGAGTTGAACGACTTTACTATTGCAAATAATTTAAATTTATATAATTTATATCCAAAGTTACAAATAATGATATATGAATTTATAACTTGGTTTTAATTTGCTTAATGAATTTTTCTTTTGATCTAAAAGATAAAATGATACTTGCCTAATTTCGAGAATAAATTGAGCTAAAAAAAAAAAATTACGAATTTTCTCCTTAAAAAAGAGAGTTTTCCTCAAAAAAAGATCTATAGATCTCGATCAGGCATTTACCCAAAGATTATAAGTAAATGTTCACCCTCACGTGACCGACCGGTGACATATAATAATAATGTTTTTCACCAGAATACATAGAGAAATGGGACAAGTTGTGCGATTCACGTTTGAAAATAATTTATTTATTGTGAATACAATTTTAACTCTATAATTATTGAAATTCTATAATTATTGAGAGGTTTCTGTTGAAGAATTTAAAAGATTATTTTCGGAATTTTGATGATTTGAATTCAAATTTGTAGTTGAAAAATTATTAATCGTAACACTTGCAAATGTATCACTACTATTTCTAATGTGATTATTTTTAACTTCAATGTTTTCGTTATCTTTTTTGTTAATTGATACAAGCCCGAAACTTTCAACATTATTTTGATCATGCGGAGAAACATATTTTTGATTCTTTTGACGCGTAAACAACGGTTTTAAAAACCGATCATCAAATGAAATAAACCAATGCTTTCGTTCAGTTTCATTGGATGTAATATTATTTAATTGAGCGGAATTTATAGAATCACACACTATCATTTCTTCAGATTCAATTCTTGTATGATGACATGTCGTTTCCTCTTCATCTTTATCATATTCCTCATCATCGCTATCATTTTCACCTTGTTGTTCTATACCTGTCTGAATCTTTAGAACTTCCAACATCATACTGGTTGAACCACCAAATATTATGACACTAAGTACAACAACAACAAGAATGGTTGTTAGCATTGCATTCGCATTTCTGCCCTCAAGTTCTGCTGTTAGTGCAAACGCAACAGCTCCACGTAACCCTAAAAATTAAACGAAATATTTAAAAGTGCATTAATTTTTTATATATATAAAATGTCATTATTATTATGCATACCTGCCCAGAAAAGCATGATAGAATGTTCTTGTGGAATTGAATCAATTTCGTTTCGATATCGTGCAAAAGAATTCACTAAAAATGATAAGGGAAATATGGCAAAATATCGTCCTATGCATATAAATATCTAGAGATATTGATTAATAAAGTAAGGTTTAAACGGCTCTTACAATTAAAAGTTCGTAAATGATCAAAAATTTTCTTACCGCTGTAAAAAATATAAATATTGGCTTATATTCAAGATCAGATTTTGTGAACAAAGTTAACCCTAGATAAATAAAAATGAAATTTTCCGAAAGTTGAGCTAATACATGAAACAAATATTTCGTTGTTCGTTTGGTTTTTAATGACATGTTATCATAAGCGTAATGCTTTAGAATTATGCCGCAGAACAATAACGATACGACCCCTATTTACAGAATTTATAAAAACGATGATTAGACAAGTGATGTTTCGAATGATTAACTTTTGAAATCAATTTTTACCTGATGAATCAATACCATTTGATAATAAATAAGAAGAATACGCCATCAAGGCGATTATACATGACTCTATCGAAGAATACTTGCGCAATTGCGAATGCTTTAACATGTATAAATTTGAATTAAGGACCTTTTAAATTACACAATTAAATGAAAATATGAAATATTATCTTTATGAAAGGATATCAAAGCGCACAAAATTCCAATGAAAACCCCAATCGATAATGAAACTCCAAATTTGAGCATGAAAGAAAAAATCCCGTGAAAAATATTGGAAATATGAAATTCTTGCTCACGATATTGATTTAATGTTCTAATTATTAAAAAAACAATCATAACGATAATAATAATAAAACTGAAAATTCAATAAAATAATTTTTTTTTTCTTTTAGCATTAAGTACTTACTCGCAAAGCACAATTGAAACTGCATCATTCAACAGGCTTTCGCCAAAGATGATTGTGTATAATTTTGGATCAACTTTTAATGATTGAAATATTGCAAGCACTGTCACCGTGTCTGTTGCTGACAGAATTGAACCAAAGATCAACGAATCAATAAATGATAGTGAAAGTGAATCAATTCCGAAAAATGCCAATATCCCAACGAGAATTCTAAAGAATGACAATCAAAACTAATATCATAAGTTTTACATCATGCAAGGCGTAAATTATATAATTAAAAAATACCCAATAACCAATGCCGATATAAAAGTTCCCATAAACGCGAATAATAAGCTTGTTCCAATTTTTCTGAAAAAAAGTTCCTGTTTTTTAATAATTGAACTTGATTAGCTCAACATTTTCCCACTTTTTTAAAATAAAAAATTAACAATTAATTCATACCCTTTGCATTTCATATCCTGAATTCAAAATAATTGGTGGTAAAAGAATATTGAAAAAATATGTATAATTGAAAGTAACCATTTTTTGAATTGTTGAAGCTGGTGAAAGTCTGATAATTAATCCAACAATCATTCCTAAAAAAAAAAACGAGATCTTGCTCATTATCATTCATTTATATCGATGAACATAATTTAACTCTATTTACCTGCAAATATAGATACGATAGTTTCATGTATAACTTTGATCTGTTTTAAATGTAAATAATAACTCGTCCATAATGCGCCAATTAATAAAACAGTTTGAATTAATAAAGCCCAACTTGAATAAAGCTCTTCCTTCTCAATTTGATCCTCAGGTTCCATTGCTACATTATATTATAAATGACGATAACTTATAAATTCTCATATGCTTTTTAGCAAACTTTGCACGCGAGAGGTTTGCACTTTACCTTAACGATATTTGACGTGTAATATACTATATATTATAACAATTAAATATAAAATAAATAATAAAATTTTAATATGTATTCAGCAAACACGATCGAAAAAAGTTTAATATTGAAGCCACATTTTGTATATTTTATAAAACGGGCCAAGTATCAATTTATTTTGGCTGAAATTGGATTATCGTACTACAACTTAAATGAAATAACATAGCTCGAAAAACTTGAAGAATGGAAAGCATCAAAGGAGCAATTCACAAGAAAGCTAAACTAGTTTTAAGAGTCAAAAGGAAAGTCATACTTTTGTGAGTTATATGGCGGACCCTGACTATTCCGTTTTGGTGTCGATTATTATATCTAACTATTAATGTAATAAGATTAATATGATAAATATTTGGGCGAGCGAGCCTGCAAAAAAAGTTAATAATTCAAGTTCTCTCTTAATTTATAATTTATAGAAATCAAATTTAAGGAACATTCATGTATGATCTAGGAAAATGACGGATAAATGACTTTATTTAAATTGTTATGTAGGAATGACTAGGAAAATGACAGATAAATGACTTTATATAAATTGTTAAAGGAGAATGATCTAGGAAAATGACGAATAGGTAATAAACTCCAACTTTGTATTGGGAATAACTATCCCCTAATTTTGCGACCATTTTGTATATTCTTATGGCCTTTCTCGTGTCATGAACTCCAATTTCTCCTTCATAAAGTTTCCCATATCTCATTAATCTTTCTAAACTTTCTGGATCTCTTGAATTCGCGGCTTTTATATATTTATTCATATAATAATATTTCTTTCTCGTTGTGCTCATTCGAGATGGCGTGATAAAAAATAATTTGTTATTTTATTTTATGGTGTACGAAAAGTTTTTATTTTTATGGTGTGTCAAAAAAGTTTTTATTCTTTATGGTGCATGAAAAATAATCTTGTATTTTCTCTTTTTTTACGGTGTGCGAAAGTGTTTTTATTTTTATGGTGTGCGAAAGAATATATATTGTATGCGAGCGAGAAGAATTTGAAGAGAAAAAGGTGGGTTATCTTTACAGAAAAGCCAATTTATAAAGAAATGCGTCATGTGAAACGAAAGTTCGTAAATCCTACTTGATTAATTTTTAAGCTTTATTTTATATTAATAATTGGTTTATATATTTAAAAAGTTAATGATAAAATTTTGTTTTTATAATTTTTATAATCTAATAAAATGATAGTTAAATTTACTATTATTAATTACAAAATAAAAAGGATTTGTTAAATCAATTGCTTTTAAATTACTTAAAATTGTTAATAAATTTTAATAAAATTACTAAAATTTTCTACTTTTATCCCTTAGATTGTAAAGGTTTACAAGCAAATTTACCTGCAAATTTACTATCATTTCCTTTTGATTTACTTTTATTATAAATGTATATTATCACAAATATAGAAAATATTATGTGAAAAATATCATGCAACAATGATCAACAAAATACTATTAAAGATTTGCATGATTTATCTGATTGATTGGATTTACCTAATTTTTTTAACTATAAATTCTTATTATATCTGTAATAATGATTAACTTTTTATTTTTAAATATTTTGTTATTTTTATTATTTTCCTTATATTTTATATCTGTATTTTATTTTACTATTATATTATAACTGAAATTTATAAATATAATTAATTTATAGTATGCAAAATAGTTAGCTATAGCTATATAAAAAAATAATTTTTTGTTTAAGTTATAAATTAATTCTTAGGCATGTTTTAAAATTTTTCTGTTATTAATAAAGAAATTAATTAAATCTACAAAATTACTTTTTTCTATTTTTTATTTTTTTCTCATCTTTAGGTACTTTACATAATAAAGTTTTTTGTCTTTCACTTTTATGATATTTATTAAAAAATTTTAAAATATCTATAAATGGGAGCTAAGCTATTAAAATCACCTTACGGGA